CACAGCAAGACCTATAGACTCTGGATTCAAACTAAAGCCTACAAAAAGGATGGGTGAGATGGAAGACTTTGGAGAGTAACATTCTGCTGCCAACATGGAAGGGCATCGGTGCATGCCCAACAGAGACCCAGCTCTTCCTTGTGCCTGGCTTTCCTGGCCAGTTAGCCGCCACAAGCTACGAACCCAAGCCACAAACTCAAGCTACATTCAGGACTGGTAACTATACAGCAGCTGCAGAACCTGTGTGTGTGTATGAACGAACGTGTGAATGAATGTGAACCTGAATGAAATGTTATAGCTATAACTGACTGCCTACTACAATTCTTTCTGTATTCACAATAAATGTGACACTTTGTCTTATCCCCTTTAATAAGTTCCTGCTGGGTTTTATTTTATTGGTATAACACCCGTCCTGGCTGGAGGAGGGAGACAGTGCGAGCAGGGCACCTGCTCTAAGGCTAGTGCATGTCTCTGGAGAGAGCTGTGCCAGCACATTCTCAGTCAGCGCCGGCTGCTCAGTGACCCCGCCTGAGTCTATTGACTCGCCAGAAGGTGCCTTAATCCCTCATCTGCCAAATGGGGAATCCTATTTATTCCCTGGTACCGAGTCTCAGATCAAAATAGCCACATGCTGCATCGATGTCTGACCTGCTCCAACATTCCCTCCCCCACCCCAGGCAGTGACGGATTAGCCACTGGGCCTACAGGGCCTGTGCCCAGGGGCCTTGGCCAACTGAGGGGCCCTGCGGCCCCAGCCACTGGGTGGGTGGGGCAGGGAAAGCCCTGGCATCTCAATCCTGCTCCCAGGCAGCAGCGCCAGATGGGCAGGGTGGGCGCAGCGGTGGAAGCCCCCAGTGCTCCCTATCCTTGGCAGAAGCTGGGGGCAGCAGGGGAAGCCGCCCCTCCCCCCGCTCTCCAAAAGAAGCGCCAGGATGGGCGGGAGAAGCCCCAGTGCCCCGACCCTGGTTCCCCGCAGCCGTGGTGGGTGGCCCACATGTACAAATCCACCCACACAATTAAATTCAAATTGATTCATCTCAGGCCCTGTTGGCCCAGATTAACACAGCACCACTGCCTCAGGGGATCCTTACACCCCATAAGGTCCCCAGTCCTTGCACTCAGCTGCTACTAACTGGCTGGCAAACCCCACTGCCCAGCTCCCTGCTCCAGGCCCAGAGATCTACCTGGCTCTGGGCTGAGCACTGGGGCTAGGCCAGGCCTGGGCAGCTCAGCCACCTGCCAGGAAATAGAAGTGAACACATCCATCGTGAGTGGAGAGTCCTCCATTCCCCATTTTGTCCACAATACCCTCCCAACTCAAGGGAGACAAGCTCCCTGTCCCCTCACTGCCCCAGAGCTGGCACTGACCTTGTGGCTCCAGTTTCATTTCTGTCTGTGGCTGGGATACACTCCTGTTTCCTCCCCCGCCACCTCTGTTTCTCTGGGTGAGGTTTTAGTTCTGGGTTTCTTTGTAATTAACAGCATCAGTAAATTGGACACAGAGCCCCAAGAAACACTGATCTCCCCCCCACTCTGTAGTAAAACACTTGACTTCTCTCCCTGGCCCCACTCCTAGGATTGTTTTGTCCTGCTCCCCTCATTTGCCCCCTGCACAATCCTGGCCCTAAATTTTCTCCTATCTCCCTCTTGCCCTGTTGCCCCAGGTGTTTCTCCTCTTTCCCTGGCTTGGAGTCACTGTGAGCAACAAATGGGGAAACTGGGCTTATCACCCCCATATTAAAGACTGGGAAACTGAGACACAGGGTAGTCAGAGGACTTGGCCAGGGTCCCAGGGTGAATCAGTGTCCCAGTACTCAGGTGTTTCTGACTCCTCCTCCTGAGCCACCTGTCATGTTGGCTATAAGCTATGACTAACTAACAGGTTTCAGAGTAACAGCCGTGTTAGTCTGTATTCGCAAAAAGAAAAGGAGTACTTGTGGCACTTTAGAGACTAACCAATTTATTTGAGCATAAGCTTTCGTGAGCTACAGCTCACTTCATCGGATGCATACTGTGGAAAATACAGAAGATGTTCTTATACATACACAAACCATGAAAAAATGGGTGTTTACCACTACAAAAGGTTTTCTCTCCCCCCACCCCACTCTCCTGCTGGTAATAGCTTATCTAAAGTGATCACTCTCCTTAGAATGTGTATGATAATCAAGTTGGGCCATTTCCAGCACGAATCCAGGTTTTCTCCCCACCCCCCGCACAAACCCACTCTCCTGTTGGCAATAGCTACAAGCTGTCAAGAACACTATCCCCGATAATGTCACGGCTAACCTGGTGGCTGAACTTTGTGACTTTGTCCTTACCAATAACTATTTTACATTTGGGGACAATGTATACCTTCAAATCAGCGGCACTGCTATGGGTACCCGCATGGCCCCACAGTATGCCAACATTTTTATGGCTGACTTCGAACAACGCTTCCTCAGCTCTTGTCCCCTAACGCCCCTACTCTACTTTTGCGCTATATTGATGACATCTTCATCATCTGGACCCATGGAAAAGAAGCCCTTGAGGAATTCCACCATGATTTCAACAATTTCCATCCCACCATCAACCTCAGCCTGGTCCAGTCCACACAAGAGATCCACTTCCTGGACACTACAGAGCTAATAAACGATGGTCACATAAACACCACCCTATACCGGAAACCTACTGACCGCTATGCCTACCTACATGCCTCCAGCTTTCACCCTGACCACACCACACGATCCATTGTCTACAGCCAAGCTCTGCGATACAACCGCATTTGCTCCAACCCCTCAGACAGAGACAAACACCTACAAGATTTCTATCAAGCATTCTTACAACTACAATACCCACCTGCGGAAGTGAAGAAACAGATTGATAGAGCCAGAAGAGTTCCCAGAAGTCACCTATTACAGGACAGGCCTAACAAAGAAAATCACAGAACGCCACTAGCCGTCACCTTCAGCCCCCAACTAAAACCCCTCCAATGCATTATTAAGGATTTACAACCTATCCTGAAGGATGACCCAACACTCTCACAAATCTTGGGAGACAGGCCAGTCCTTGCCTACAGACAGCCCCCCAACCTGAAGCGAATACTCACCAGCAACCACATACCACACAACAGAACCACTAACCCAGGAATCTATCCTTGCAACAAAGCCCGTTGCCAACTGTGCCCACATATCTATTCAGGGGACACCATCACAGGGCCTAATAACATCAGCCACACTATCAGAGGCTCGTTCACCTGCACATCTACCAATGTGATATATGCCATCATGTGCCAGCAATGCCCCTCTGCCATGTACATTGGGCAAACTAGACAGTCTCTATGTAAAAGAATAAATGGACACAAATCAGATGTCAAGAATTATAACATTCATAAACCAGTTGGAGAACACTTCAATTTCTCTGGTCACGTGATTACAGACATGAAAGTTGCGATATTACAACAGAAAAACTTCAAACCCAGACTCCAGCAAGAGACTGTTGAATTGGAATTCATTTGCAAATTGGATACAATTAATTTAGGCTTGAATAGAGACTGGGAGTGGCTAACTCATTATGCAAGGTAACCTATTTCCCCTTGTTTTTTCCTACCCTCCCCCCCTTCCTCAGACTTTCTTGTTAAACCCTGGATTTGTGCTGGAACTGGCCCACCTTGATTATCATACACATTGTAAGGAGAGTGATCACTTTAGATAAGCTATTAGCAGCAGGAGAGTGTGGTGGGGGGAGAGAAAACCTTTTGTAGTGGTAAACACCCATTTTTTCATGGTTTGTATGTATAAGAACATCTTCTGTATTTTCCACAGTATGCATCCGATGAAGTGAGCTGTAGCTCATGAAAGCTTATGCTCAGATAAATTGGTTAGTCTCTAAGGTGCGACAAGTACTCCTTTTCTTTTTGACTAACTAACAGTAATTGCCTCTTACAGGCCTGCCATCCTGCAGGGTCCAGAGGCATCTCACAGACTGTGCGTATGGGACTCCACAACCAACTTGAAAGTGTGGCTGCCTCCAGGGAGGAGTGTCCGTGCCAGGAGCTGTGTACAACTGGGGGTTGTTAGGGTAGCAGGCAACCAAGTGACCCCATGGGGGATCTGAGCAAGCCAGTGAGGGGTAATCCCCCAGCTTAGACAAGAAGCTCTACAGGAGTAGGGACTGCCTCTCACAATGTGTTCCTGTAGCCCACACCCACCCAACATGGTGCTCTCTTTACCTCTCGCGGTGACAGCCACAGACAGGTGATGAGTCTGCTACTGCCTTGGCGAACAGAGCTGGGCTTTTCGCACCACACAGTGGAGACTCATGCTTTAAGATCCAGAGGTTCCACGTCTGATACTCCCTGCTAGGGCCCAACCCAGAGTGCGGACAGGATAACATTTGTACAGCACCCAGCACTGGGGCTCATGCTGGTTGGCCTCTGGGTGCTGCTGAGTATAAATGTTCAGTAATAAAAAATATCTCATAATACAACAGGAACCCCCAGCTGCTCCCATGACTCCCAGTATGGCCACTCCTGGAGAGGGTCCACCTCCGCTGCTGCCCATCCAGGCTGCTCGGCGGGGAGAGCGCCCCCCAGGGCTCCCTGCAGCACGTGATCTCTCTCGTGGTCTTCCCTCCAACGCCTGGACCCCACTTTGCTAGGGAGGCTGGCCAGGATCACAGCCACAGGCAGGCTGCACTAGCCCCACGGGCCGAGGCACAAACAGTCTGCCCCCAAGCCCTGTGGACCGGGCTCAGCCCCGGCTGATCCGCCTCCAGACAGGCAGGCCTTGGAAAAGGGGCGGATTCAGTCCCCGCTGCCCCCGGGGCTGGACCCGCGCCCGCCCAAGACCGGATCGTTTTCTCCGGGTCGGCGGGTCCAGCCGGACAGAACACGCTACAGGGACGGACGGTCGACGCTGTAGCGCTCGATTGAGTTGGTCTGTGGGAGGGGGCACCCGCATTTCCGCCCCGCTGAGCGGCCTGCCCGTGGATGACACGCTTAGCAGGCGCCCGGCGCCACTGACACGTCATCGCTGGGGGCGGGGTAAGCGAGCCGGCCGGCTGGCGAAGACGGGACCAGAGCCCCATGGAGCCGCCAGGGGAGACTCGGCCCTGCCCCAGGTACCGGCGGCAGCGTCCCCGGCTGGTGCCCCTGGAGACAGCAGGTGTCTCGGGCCAGAGCGGCCCCTGCCGTGGCGCTTTCGCCCTTGCATGGGAGCCCGCGCAGTGCTGCCGGCTCGCTCTCTGCGCGGGACCCGCCCGCCTGCCCTGGCCCGGGCCCCCCTGGCGGCGGCGGCGGCGGCGGCGGCGGGGCGGGGCGGGCAGGGGGTCTTGCCTTACAGGTGCTGCGGGTGCCCCAGCCACGGGCGGCGCCCTGCTCCATCACCCACCCCCGCCACAGCAGGCGCCCAGCCAGCTCGGTTCCCTCTGCAGGTGACGCGCTCCCTGTGGCTTTCCCTGGGTTGAAGGCTCAGCGATGAGGGGGCAGCGGTGTAGGCGCTGCTGACGCGGCCGGACTGGGGAGTGCGCGTTGTCCGGCTCTGGGTGGAAGGGACGCCCCAGCTACCTTCGCCGCTGCTGGAATTGGGTTGTAGAGAGGCCCTCGCAAGGGTAGCCGCCTGACAGCCATGCTGAGGCGGTTGCTCTGGCTCTGCCTTTTACAGCATGGGAATCTAGTTACCGCTCCACATTTTAACATCCCTTTAGAAAAATGGACAGAACTTGAAGCAGAAAATGTGCCCCCCCCTCCCCCCCGGGAGGCTGTTTCTGCTGTACAATGTGTTTCTTGTGCCCTCCGTGCCGCAGCAGTGCCGGGACCTGCATGACAGCCCCTCCCCCTCCATTTACATGTAACACTGGCTGCCTCCCCTGCAGACCCACCGTCTTGTTAGACCCATTGGAAGGATCGGGTGTGCGACAGAATAGGAGCTAAACAGACTGGCTGGATGCAGTTGGCCTCACGCTGCAACTTACTGTCCTCACTGTTGAGAGATTGCCTGTCCAGCAGCTGGGAATCGGGAGGCCTTTTTGACAGCCTGAAGGATGGAGGGCTTGACTGGAGTGGGAGCACGTCTGAGATCCTCTGGGAAGCTTCACAAGAGAGCAAATCCAGCCCCGAGCTGGGAGTCTGCTAAAAGCAGCCCTCTAGCAACTAGTTTCTCCTTCTGGCAGCTTGTTTTCTGGATATGCTGGTTGGCTGCTGCCCAGTCACTGTCGTGAAGCAGTTTGGGCTTTTATGAGAAACAGGGTCTAACTGGCTCCAGGGTTTACTTGCCTTTGCTTTTCCTTCAGGGGCCACCTCCTGGACCTGCCCTGGGAGGACATCCTGGTGCCACACATCCTCTGCCATCTGCCTCTGCGACAGCTCCTGAGCCTGCAGAGGGTCAGCAAGCCATTCCAGACTCTCATCCAGCTGTACCTGGCCAACATGCGCTGCTTTGACTCTAGCCAGGTATGGGAGAGTTCTGCACTTGGCGCTGGGGAGAGCTGTTACGTGTGGGAAGAACCTACAATGGGAAAGTCAGGCTAGGTAGGAGGGAGGAAGGCAAATCACAGTCAGAATATTTGCTCTGGTTAACATCCCCGGCCCCCATGCTTTCAGGGGCTGACAGGAATGATTCAAGTCTCAGCAGCGCACAGATTTGTTAATAGTAGGCCATTAGGCTGACAGGAATGATGAAACCAGAAGCCCTTCCCATGGCCCTATCCAAGCACCAGCAGGGGGGAGCAGAGAGGCGTTAGGCTGGGAATGGGACAGACTCTCTGTTTTGCCCAGGTTTGGAGGCAGGTGGGAATGATGCATACAGCTGTGTGTGTGTGGAATATGATGTGTCTAGATGGGACTGGCTCCTTGAGGCGGGGGGATGGGAATATGATGTACGCAGGTGTGTCCAGCCTTAGGGGCTGGAACTCACCAAGTCAAGCATTCTCCCAGCCCTACTGGGAAGGTGGTATGGGGGGGCTGCAGGGATGGCTCTTCCTGATGAGTAGGAAACACAGGAGACTGTAAGTTGGGCCTCAGTGAAGAGCTGGTCTACACACAAATCAGCACAGAAATAGTAAGAGGTGTATGTTAAACCAGTTACAAATCGAACCTGGGAAGTTATTTTAGTGCAAGTCTGAGTGAATACATTTATTATGGAATAGCAGTGGTTCAAGTGGATTTAGTTAAATTCAGTTTGTTACCAACTGCGGCTAAATTCACTTGAGCCGCAGTTGTTCAAAAGACGTGTGTTCACATGAGGACTTGCATAGCTTAGGAGAGATTAGATGGAAGGAGTGACTGGCTGGGAAAATTTAAAAAAAGAGCAAAATGGGCATTACTTGCCCTAGCACTGACTAAGAGAGGCAGGCCTGTCTGCAAGTATTTACAGCTGGAGAATGTAGAGAGGCAGGGATTTAGAAACAGAAGCAATTCAATGGCATTAAGAGGAGGTAACCTTGGATTGAACAGCTGGAATAACTTCTTGTTAGCAAGAATTCTCGTACGGTGGAATGGTCTCCAAGGGAAGCTGTGGGAGCCCCATCCCTTGGGCCACTGAAGTGGAGAAGAAGCTGCAGGAAGTGCTGCAGCCCTGGTGAGGGGGTGGATTTGGTGACCTACCAAGTCTCCTCTGGCTCTTCGCTCTTTGATGTCTCTGGTGCAAGGAAGAGACTAGTGAGGGAGAGAATCTAAGAGCCAGAGCAGTGTTGATACACTGGAGGTCTTGTTCTCTGTTCTCCTAATGCAGGTTGGTCCTCACCTCCCCAAAACTGCTTTCTGTAACCTTCTGAAAGACAACGAAGTTCTGCAACAGCTGGCGCTCCAGAACTGCTCTGATTGGCTGACTGACAAGGAGCTGCTTCCTGTGATTGGCCAGAACCACCACCTGCAGCAGATCCAGCTGAGCAGCTGCCTGCAGCTGAGCCGGCATGCCCTGGTGGCCATCTCACTGAGCTGCCCCCATGTGCGCAGTCTCTCCCTGGCTCACTGCGAGTGGGTGGACAGCCTCTCTCTGCGCAGCCTGGCTGACCACTGCAAGGGACTGGAGTCCCTGGACCTGACGGCCTGTCGCCAGCTGAAGGACGAAGCCATCTGCTACCTGGCGCAGAAGTGCAGCAGGCTGAAGTCCCTCTCTCTGGCTGTCAATGCCAACGTGGGTGACACGGCGGTGGAGGAGATTGCCAAGTGCTGCCCTGAGCTGGAGCACCTGGACCTCACCGGGTGTCTGCGGGTCAAGAATGAGTCCATTAGGTACCAAGTTTGTTTAACTGTGCATGCAGGATGGGGGCCCTCCGTGGGGGGGGCGGGGGGAGATCAGAGAGAAAGAAGGGAGGCTGGGTCTCTTCCTTGCTCGCTTCTGTGGTGCTGGGTGCAGTGGCAGCTCTGGGCTGCTGGGGAGGCTGCTGGCAGGCACTGGAGGACAGCGTAGATACTAGATGTAACGGATGGGGGCTTGGCTACAGTAAGCTCTCTGGGATGCCATGGAGAGGGATCAGGATTGAGCTGATCACCAGATTACCATCTCCTGCGTGTGCTCTATGCCCAGGCAAGGCCCTCCTCCCATGGGTATGGTGTGTCACCTTCCAGTAACAGTGCAGGAGGGTGCTGGGAGCAGGAACTGTTGCCTCCAGCCTGCGCTCTCTCTTGGCAGGGTCCTGGCCGAGTACTGCACCAAGCTGCGCTCGCTGAAGGTGAAACACTGTCATAAGGTGGCCGAGTCCAGCCTGAGCATCCTCCGTGGCCGTGGGGTGGAGCTGGATGTGGAGCTGCCGCTGCAGAGGGCCCTTGTTCTCCTGCAGGATGGGGTTGGATTTGCCCCCTTCATTAACCTTCAGATCTAGAGGAGGGGGACGGCTGCTGCTGCTGCTGAGGCGGGAGAGAGCGCCCAGCTGGCCTCTGCCTCCTGGAGGGTGCTGTAAGAAATTGCTGCTGAGACACTCAGAGGGAGCAGTCAGTCCCATCAGTGTGGCTGGTCCTGATAGGGCTCTCTGACCTCCCTCTACCCCCCGCCACCTTGGTGCTCTTTAGCCACGGCTGTGTTTGTAACAGGGCTCCCGCATTGCCTCCTGGGGGGAGCGGCAGCACTTTGCAGTGGTGTGAAAAGTGAGAGGCGCTCTCAGCAACGCCGTGGTGCTGAACACACCCTGGCTGGGCCAGGTCAGCTGGTAAACAGGATATATTATTTAAGCAATATTTAAAATCTCTAAGTCCAGCATGCTGGGCATCGGCTTTACAGAGAACAAGATGCTGTGCAGGGACTATGGCCGTGGACTGGCTGCAGAACTGTTGAATAAACCAGACCACCTCTGCCCTATCGAAGGGGAAGTGCTGAGCTCTCCCCCCAGCCAGGACAGGGCTTGCTGAGCTGGGGGGGAGGGAGTCTCAGTGATAGCTACAGTGCACTGGAACGACCTTGTCAGAAACCGGCGGGCCATCTCCCAACAGCAGTGGCACAGGCTAGTCACCCGGACCAGGCAGCTGTGGGTCTGGGCAGCTTCGTACCCAGGGCAGCTAGCCTGTACCACCCCTTGCTGCGTGTGCTACTGGAGCTACGCTGCTGCTTTTAGCACCTGGCTCGATGAGAGCTGGGAATCACAGCCCTAGCTCCAAGCGTGGGCTGGAGGAGAAAGCGACACTAGCCCTGGAGTGCGGGGGGCCTGATTCCCAAGTGCTAGGGCAGGGAGAAGAGCAAGGCCCCTGTGGGTTCTGTACAGCAGGGGGCAGATACCACTTACTGCTGGGGAACTCAGTTCACATCAGAGTTTGGTCAGAAGTGTAGCAAGCCTTCATCCTGGGCTGTGTCCCCTGCTCATCACAGGGCTGGTGGCTGCCACTCAGGTTCCAGCCCTGAAATAGCAGGGCTCTGGAGGGGTGTCCTCAGCTGCTGGCCCTATCGGGCTGCTGCAGAGCCATCAGGAAGTGTGCTGGCAGAGATGTGGGGAGCTCACAATACCAGGCCTAGTTTCTAACCTAAGCCCTCACAATCACTGTGCATTCAACACGCTGAAGGAGCTGCAGGTAGCCAGTCTACAGGCACCATCTCATGCCTCGGGCGGGGGTGCGGCAGAGACAGAAAGATGCAGCTTAAGCCTCCAACCAACCGTGAGGGGCTGCAGGTGCGCGACCCTTCCCAGGAGCAAATGTACTCTGGCTGAATTCCACACTAATTCACGCCATCTTTACTAACAGTCACGATCAACAGAAACACCATTGCACACACATTTAAAAAGACAGCTGTGAACTGCACTAGCCACACATTAGCTATAAAAAATCCCCATGCAAGGAATGGCAGAGAGGTCCAGGACACACATCAGCTGTGTTAGTCAAATTTGCCATAGTGACGGCTGGCTCCTGGCTGCGGAGGGACAGTTTGGAAGGTTACACAAACAGCGTTGCTGAACAGGCTTCTCTGGGACATCATGCTATAATTAGAGGCTGACAGCAGCATGCTGGCTCCTAGTGGTAGGTTAGTTCCAGTCCGAGGAGTATAGAAGGCCCCTCTCATCCTTCCTGCTTCCCTGGTCTGTCCCTCCATGCCTCAGCCAGCAAGACAGAGGAAGATGCCTTGGAGGGAATGTCCGTCAGTGGAATTTGTATTTCTTGGCTGGCTTGAGGCTGATGTAAGTTCTCTTCATCTCCTCGCTCTCTGGCTTCTTAATGTCTTTGTACCTTTCTCCCTTTGTACTCACCACCTGGTTGTCAATGTAGCGGATCAGTTTCTTGGGAGCCTAGGAAGGAAGTGAAATTGATGTGAAGTGGAAAGTGATGGGAGCCCTGGGTGCATCTGCAGGGCAGGCTTGGGTGTGTCTTCGGGGCAGGTGGAATTAGCATCAACTGAAAGCATTAGGTTCGGTGTTTCACACGTTCTTTAAGAGCAGGACTAGCTGATCTCAGCAGCTGGAGAACACTGCGTGAGTCTTGGTTAAATAACTGGTAGGAAAGCAAGATGAAGCCATGGGGGTATACATACACCCCCGTGGGGAAGCACAGCATTAGGCTGAAGTGGTAAACAGTGACAGCTCCTGCTGCCAGTCTTACACCTCTCTTGGCTGGACCAGTTCCCCCTTCCTTCCAGCCAAAGGCTCTGTGAATGGGGCTTTAACTGTGGCAGATTCACCCTGCTGCCAACCTGTAGTTGGACCCTGCTATAGCCAAAGACTCTCATAGCCATACCGACCGTGGCTCTCCTCACCTCCTTTGGCGGCACCGGCCTGTGTGTTTTCTGGTCCTCCTCGCTGTCCACCATCATGTATCTGAAACACAGTCAGGGATTAGTGAAAGCTGCAACACACACAACACTATCATGGGCTACTCACATCCCATTTCCTTATCCCCCGCCCCATTTTCAGTGTGACCTCAACACCGGCTGCACTCCACTTCCAGCTGGAACACCGGGGATGAGCCCAGGACTAACAGTGGGAGGGAGGAGGTACTACAGCATCAGAGGTGCTATCCTTTCAATGGGTGGGATCTGCACAGCCAGCTAAAGGACCCTGAAGCGACGTCCCAGGCCATATGAAGTGTACCTGAAGGCAGCCTGGCTACATGGTTTGCTCAAATAGGCCCAGATCCTCCAAGATATTTAAGTGCCTAGCTCCTAAATGGCAGTTAGGCACCTAAATACCTTGGAGGATCTGGGGCCATAATCTTTGCCCTGTCAAGAGTTGCTCGGAGGTGGAAGAGGCAAGTTCTGGTCTATTTTAGGAAGCAGGTTTGCTACTTTCCAATCTCTGTGGGCAGGCAGCATCTACGATGTGTTCTGAGCACCACGCAGCTGAAGGACTCGACTGAGATGCACAGCGGTGGGTTCCTGGTAGCACAGTGCTGAAGTGGCTGCATCTCTCATTTCAGAGATGACTTCCCTTCAAAACTTCATGCCCTTTGCTAAAGGGTTTTGTTTGAGGGGTAAAGTGTCCCCTCGCTCCATGTTTGACTGATGCACAGGTACGTGCTCACTGCACTGATGAGTTCTTTACTCCCTTTTGCCACTCTAGAGCCAATACAACTATGTGACAGCACAGCCAGCCTTGGTCTTTTGTCCCTGAGCTAGGATAGCTGCTCCTGTGTATTTCCAGCTAGAAGACTGCTCTCGCTCACTGTGCTTGAGTTGTGTTGTAAGGACCTTGGCAAAGCCACCATTAAAGTGAGGTTAGCATATGTGACTAAATGGCACCTTTTTACTCAACACAGCTGCTCCCTCGCGCTCACAGCAAGCCTGTGTCAGATCAGCTGGAGCTAGGTTAGCCCTTGGGAGACAGCACTACTCTGGGAGAGTGAGCTGGGTTCCGTTCTGCCTTGCTCACACCCGACAGCTGAATTCCAGCTGTCACTTATCACTGGCGGTGACACAGGGAAGCAGAAAGAACCAGTCTGGAGGGGCAGATCCCAGCTGGGCAGGTGCAGGCTGCAGCTTCAGCACTTACAGATAGTGGCTTTAGGCTCGTCTGAGCCAGACGTGGTTGTAAGAATCAAGAGGGAAACCCCGAGCAGAGTTCACATCCCTTCTCTGACTGGACCTGCATTTTGAGATTAGCCATGGCCCAGGCATGCCAGGATCCTCCCCTTACCAATGGCCCAACTGCAGAGTGGCACACACCAAAGCTCTCGGATAGGTCACTTTGGCAGGGTAGCCTGGGTGGGCAAGTTCCATTTGTGACTATTTCCCCAAGCCCCTCATCAGAGCCCGTTCTTGCCACTAACAAGGACATGAGCAGATCCTCGCTGCTTGGTACTTACTTCTGTAAGATAAATTGTTTGAGGTCGTCTTGTTTGGGCACTCGGCAGGGCCTTGCTGTCTCCTGGGATTAGAGAGTAGGAAAGGATGTGCGTGAGCTACAAAGTCATCAGCTGTCCAGTTCCATCCTGTTAGCTAGTCCCCGTGTGGAGAAGCTACCCCGGATGCTGGCCAGTCAGCGTTAGGGGAGAATGCATGGGGCACAACCTCTCTCATAGCAGCCCAGCAGGCTGGACAGCCTGTACCTGGAATCCCTGGGGAAGGAGCCAGCTCAGTGGGATCTCACTGCTCTGCTCACAGGGTGAGGACCTGCTGGCCTCTTCCATTTGCTATGGGGACATGGAAGATCCCCACAGCCACTTTCAGAGGTAATGAACTATGTTTCATCTTGGTGTGATGCCCTGCTGTATTTGTGGACACCGGTTCCTCCAGTCCCCCCCGGTGCTGCTGCCAGGGCCACAATACCTTCACGTTAGCACCCCCTGGGCCAGGTTCCACCTTCTCCTCCACCAGTAATTGCACCGCCTCGTCCAGATTTCCCAGTGCCATGGTTAGTGCCTTCTGAGCCTGGCTGAGGGTGCAGGCTGGGAACATCTCCAGGAGCAGCTCCACCCCATCCTTCGGGTCACCTTCTGCTCCCTGGTCAGGGTAAGACAGACCTGGGCTGACTCTGGAGGGCAGCAAAGGGCTAGGCACTTTCGGCCAGGAAAATTGGTTTCCGGTAAGCCAGATATTTTTCCGCAGAACCAAGTCTCCTCACACGGGCAGGTGCAAACCTCATCCCTGAAGCTGGGGAGCTAGTTATAGGCTTAGCTCTTTGGAGGCTCTGCCCTCACACACAGCAGCAAGGAGTCTGGATACTATTGGCCTACTTCTTGCCAGCAGATTAGCAGTCCCCCAAGGTAGGTCTTCTGGGTGTCGGCTCATTTGCCTACTGTGATGCTGCACATCCACCCCCCGAGAGATTCTGGGAACTGGGCCATTTACCTGTAGCCCTGACAACTGGCACTCCCACCGTGTGGTGTCGCAGCAAATGGGGGCGGGGAGGGGTTTAAGCACAGCATGCTACTATGGCAGCAGAGACGCTGAAGTGCAGTAACGACAGTTTCTATAAAGCAAGTGGTAAATGGTGACAATCACCGAGCAAGACAAGGGCATCAGTATGCATGTTCTTGCCTCAGTGCAGGGGGAAAGAGCAGGGATGGGACCAGGTGTGCAGGGAAGTGCTCACAGTGGGAATACCAACTGAGCAATGCTCTTCTACAGCTGGAGCATGGCTGATGGGCCCTGGAGAGTAAACGCTGGCTTGTCCCTGAATTGCACAGAGGGGACGGAGGATGATCCAGCACTGTACAAACATTAGGAACAAGTTCTGCAAACTCTTTCTTCAGGAACCACGGCACCCACCACTGAAATGCAGCCACCTGTCAGGTGGAAAGGGGAAGCTGTACAATGGTTTAGAACAGGAAATGGAGAATGTAAGAAATTAAAACTTGGGAGGGGATTTAGGGATGCAGAATTTAGCAGTCAGAGTCGATATTTGGCTTTTGTGAAAAGTCCCGTGGGATCTTTAATTACAAGCAGGCAGATGCTCTGCTACCTCCCGTCCAGAAAGTAGCACAGTGTCCCCCAACTGCAGGACTGGTTCAGTGCTGATTCAGAGGGAAGAGCACGAGCTGTGGAGTTGCCCACACCACTTCTGGCAACCTTTGAGTTTTCCTGGAAGGTTTCCCCTCCCAGTACTGACAAGACCCTGCTCATCATATCACACAAGCTGAGGTCACATCTTGAGATAATATTGCTTCCGGCCACCCGCACCACATAGACACCTACAGAGCCAGATTATGTCCAGCCCTGTATGGTAACCTGTGGCATGCAACTCTGTCCTGTGTCTAGTTCTCTATGGCAACAACCCAGTACCTGAGCCATGGCTCCCTCTGCTGGTATATGCAGCCTCCCCTCATCAGAAGCTCCTGCCCCCTGCTCATCGCTGTGGTTCAGCTCTTCAGCAGGGGCACTGCTCGCACTCTCTGCAGCCTTTTGGCAAACCTTTCCTTAAAGACACAGTGCATATTTATTTGTGAGCAACCCTGTAAAGGTTACAGCTACCTATAGCTTTCGTTATGGGAAGGACAAGGTTGCTACTGTGCTGCATGCCAGCACTAATTCCTTTCTCCATGATTGGTTTCCAGCCAATGCTCTCCTACTACTGCCAATCAGGTATGGCTGCCACCTTGTTCATACAGCCTGCAGTGGGGCAGAGTTAAGGTTGTTTGGGTGCCTTAACTGTGTGTTTCCAGACCTTAATATGTTTGGATTTCTTTTATCTGACACCTTGATCTTTTAAATGAATTTCTGGGGTTTGTATTGCTGGGGTTGGGATAAATTACACCATCCCTGTAGAGTGTTTTATTAAGTGACCGGTACATACTCTCAGTTGTTGTCTGGGAATTAATTTACATATAGGCAAGGCTCCTGCATGGTGTGAGGCCCAGTGTGCAATGTGGTCAGGCTGCTTTGATGAAGCCAGCATTGTACTGGGGGTATGTGTGTGGAAGATGGTTAATGTACCAGATTGAGAATCAGGATCCCTGGCTTCTTTTCTCCCAGCTCTAACACAGACTCCCTGTGTGTAATAAGAGGAAGTCATTTAGAGGGTATATGCCTCAGTTTCCCCATCTGTAAAGTGGGGATGATGCTTCCCCGCGCATGTGAGGCACCTTGAGATTGTAGCTTGAAGGGTGCTGCAGCCATGCTATGTATTATTGTTACACTATCAGTAGGCTGCTCCCCAGTAGGCATGATAAGGGCGGGGCAGTCTGCTCTATTATGTGGGGCCTTTTGGCTCCAGAAAAGATGCCAGTGAGGCTTCGGTTGTACAAAATCTGGCCCCTCTGCCGCGATGGGTCTCACCCCTCATCCAGCAATTCCTGCAGCCAGCCACTAACTCCTGGGTGGGTTAGAGCAGTTCCTTTAGAAAGGCATCCCATCTCAATTTACAGACGCCAATGACAGAGAATCCAACTGACTCTCTCAGGCTAAGTATCATGTACAAGAGACTGTCTGGGTTTGCAACCCTTGAGCCATGCTGCTAACAGGAATGCAGAGAGAAATCCCCAACTTACTGGCTTTGGAAGGCGGATTTGACCTGGTCTGTCCAATCCCGTTTCCAAACTATACACAAGACCCCTCTAGATACCTCAGGAGCAATAGTCCTGTAGAGAGACCTTCCCCTTACTCTGCATTCACTTTATATGTGGTTGGGATCACCAGCAACCCCAGGGATGTGTTCAAGTGGGTTTCCCCCCCAAATGCCTCTAGTTCAGCCACAAACAAGCGCATTCCAACCTACCAGCCCTCCCACATGCTCCTGTCAAGACTGACTTAATCTGGTTAGAAGTCAAGCGATTCAGAGTCCCTGTGAGACTCTCCTAAATATCCCAGCTTAAATGGCAAGATCATGCATTGTTCTGTGATGCTCCCCATCCCTCAGAGAAACTTAAGACTAAAACCACATCCTTGATTCATCTCTGCATGCCTGAGCGTCCACCGTGCAACTTACCTTTGTTGCGAGCTTCACTGAGCCTTTCTGAGAGGGCAAACATCATTTCACAAATGTTCCCGCTGCAAGAGACAGTCGCAGTGTGAATGGCATAGGGAGCACAAGCTTCTCCTGCTGATCTAGGTACCAATAAGTCCCCCGCCCTGAAATCACTGTATAACGTCCCCCACACACTTGGCAGAAGTTGAGAGAGTCACTAACAGCAGACAGCTGGAATTCTACACTGAGCACATGCAACTCAGTCTATGCAAAACAACCATATTGCTGAGCCACCGATCTAGAAAGATGGACCCTGTAAAGCCAGTGTATGCAGCAGGCTAGTGCCATAGTAAATCCAGTACAACAAACTGGGATCTCAGAAGACCTGGGGCCGGCTTGCAATCTGTACTGCTATTCGTCATCATGTACCCAAGTAAAGGCAAGACCCCGTACACGACTGCATGGTTTTGGGACCAGAAGATCCTTAAACCAAAGCACTGAGCTGCTTGATGCAACAACTGAGCTCTGTGGTACTAAGACACTTAGACCCAGTTCTTGAAGCGTGGCATGTATGTCCTAGATGATTAGAGGCACACACCTGTTGATTTCTGCAAAGCCAGGGATATACGCCTCCATCATTTCCACAAACGTGTCCATATCAAAGTTCTCCTCGGACGACTCTGGTGAGCCTAGTTCTTCCAGGACACTAGCGATGTAGGAGAAGAAGACTTCATCCATCCCGCTGGAGACAAGGAGAACGCAAGCTTAGGGAGTTGAGCTAACAGGTACTCACCCCCCTAGTGCCCTTCCACGTAGTGCAGCTGCAGTCACAGGACCCACTTGGCCAGCTTCCTGTGCTGTGATTGGATCAAATCTCACAAATGAAGGCACATAGGACCTGGTCAATAGTTGTAGGGCAGATTTTCAGGGATAATCTGAGGTGCTGCAGAAAATGACTTGTGCAGTTTAATTTGTGACCGTTTTCCTTCCCAGTCAGCACTAAAGTAATACCCCAGTACACTGCTGGGGGAGGGAGGACAGTACTGTTGGAGTTACAATGTCTGAGCAAGGTCCTGAGCACTTGTGACAATGTTAATTCTGGTATTCTGGGCAGATTCCAAGGGTAATTGTACTCTGTAGATAGAATTTCAGGTTAACAATCTACTGGATGTAGTACTCTTCTTCACTTTCTGTCCTAAGCCTGCATACGGCTGCCACTTACCGCAAAACAGCCACTGCATTCCAACCTAGAGATGGCTGCATTTCATTAGTGGGCAAAGTTCTTGTTAATATGAACTGTGTACTGGTATATCAGTCTGCTGTTTGAAAAGCACTTCGGGGTGCCTTTAAGATGATAGGAGCTAGCTAGATCTGTGTTGTTGCATAAGACATTAATAACCTTATTCCTTAGTTTCACTGGAAGCTACTAAATGGTAACACTATTAGGCTATGGCTACACTGGCACTTTACAGCGCCGCAACTTTCTTGCTCAGGGGTGTGAAAAAACACCCCCCGGAGCGCAGCAAGTTACAGTGCTGTAAAGCGCCAGTGTAAACAGTGCCCCAGTGCTGGGAGCCATGCTCCCAGTGCTCTAAGCTAATCCCCTCGTGGAGGTGGAGTACCAGGAACGCTGGGAGAGCTCTCCCCCTGTGCTGGTGCGTGACCACACTCGCTCTTCAAAGCGCTCCCGCAGCAGCGCTTTGAAGTTTCGAGTGTAGCCAAGTTACAGATGGCGCGAGGGCTCTAGCAGACTTTGGACAAATTACATGCGTCCATGAGATCTGGATTGAGGGGCAGCAGAATACAATAAATGCAGGTTAGAATATCAGACCTGGAGTTTAATAAAAGGGGCAACTAATAGAAAGTCCAAATTCAAAAGACGAGCTGGAACATACCTGAGATCAGCATCAGGGATGTGGGACTGGATGAAGCATGTCAGAGAGTCTCGAATGATTCTTTCAAGATCCATGTCTCTTTAAATGGGTTTCTTTAAGTGGGGGGGAAAAAAAACATATAATTTCAGAAGCAAAAATGAGACCAAAGCATTCACATTCACAACACCTCCATGTAGGCTCATGCAATCAGAACAATTCATGAACTCCACCGGTCCGGCATATTGGCCTGGGGAACTGTCGTAGGAGTTACCTGCAGTATGAGGAGCCACCAGAGATATCAGTCCAACACAGTCAGACCACTCTTGTGTTTCACAGCTTCTCTCTGCTACTGGTGTCAAAGGCTTTCACAAGTGCAGAGTAAAGCTCCCTCACTCAGCAGGTGTAGTACAGCTAGAAATCCTAACACGTGTCAAGCTGCAGAGTTGCGGAATCAGATGGCAGGATGGACTCCAATGAAGGAAGGCTTCAGGTGTTGCTTGCTCACTGAGGGTGAAGACGGATCTTCCAGCTAACAGTGTTTTCAGTGATGCCTGGCTTTGTAAATGGGTGGGAGACAGGATAGTGCCTTTCAGTGAAAGGGCAGCCTATCGCGGCTTTCACAAGGGAATACCAGGCAGGGCACAGCCAACCAGTCTGCCAGCCAAAATATCAAAGGTCTCCCAGTCAGGCAGGGCAGCGCCAGCAGAATCCTGCACAAACAGGAGCCCATTGTTGTGCTTTTTGAAGGAGCTGTTCTGTAGGTGAATGTGACCACAATGGGAACATTTGATAACAGTAACTGAGCAGGGGCGTTCTAAGGATCACAGACCTCCCACGCAAGCAAGGGCAGGACTGCACTGTCCACCCACTCTCTCTCTGCTAGCAGCAGAGTCCAGTCTGAACCCGCTGGAAAGACGCTATCCCACGGGCTGTCTCACTCATAACTTCCCTCTTGAGGTACATGTCAGCTGACGGCACAGCAAGGAACCTCTCACTGCAGGGCTGAGTTACATACACAGACACAGACGCCTACTTGAGGACGGATCACGATTCCTAGTGAGCGACGTGGGCATGACCCCAAAGAGCTTACAATCTACAGGCATGATCACACTTCCAGCACGCATCAGTGGCGAACCTCCCTTCATTGGGAGCAGGACCAAACCCTAAATTAGGCAGCACAGGCCTCTAGGAGAGCAACCCTGTGAGGTGCTGAGCACCAGCTCCGATGGGAATCAAGGCTGCACACATCTCCTAAGAGAGGACTTTACCAGAGCTAACCAGATACAAACAGCTACCCGATTGTGCTCAACACTGGGTTCCAGGGCCCCTGTGGGGAACCACACTTCCAGCCAGGTTATAAGTTTTGTTTTCATGTGTGAATACAGTTTTGGAGCCCGCCCCCATCCCTTGGCCAGAGAACAGCAGGGCTCCTGTGTATTCTGCAAGAGCCATCTGGAATTTATCTCCAGACACAGAACCCCCTGCACCAGCGCAGGTACTCTGTTGATTATGCCAGGGTTTAGAACCGATCACAGCAGCATTCTGTGCTCAGCGGAGCAGGGAGCAGAGTAAACAACTCTGGCAAATGGGAGAGATTCATAGACTCCAAGACCACTGTGATCATTTAGCCTGCCCTCCTGCATAGCACAGGCCAGAGCGCTACCCTAAACTGGAGCAGATCTTTTAGATAAACACCAAACCTTGATTTAAAAGTGGTCAGTGATGGAGAATTCACCATGACCATGGGAAGTTATTCCAAGGGCTAATTACCCTCACTGTTAAAAATTTACACCTTCTTTCCAATCTGAATTTGTCTAGCTTCAACTTCCAGCATTGGATCATGTTCGACCTTTGGCTGCTAGATTGAAAAGCCCTCTCTTATCAAATTTTTGTTCCCCACTTAGGTACAGCGGACCCTTGCTAGAACGCGCGTCTATATAATGCGAATTTGCATGGAACACGGTCGCGGCCATGGATCCCAAATTTAATTACTTTAATTGCAATTAATTTTAACGCGGTCCCCGCACATGGATCCCAAATCCTGCATTCTAGTGAGGGTCCGGTGTACTTACAGACTGTGATCCAGTCACTCCATATCCTTCTCTTTCTTAAACTAAATGGGTTGTGGGATGCAGGGAAGAACGTCTACACTCCTCCTGGTGGACAGAACTTCACAGCAGCTGGACCCAGGCTACACTACTCACTATCAGCTGGAATAAGAACCACCACTAATCTCAATTTCTTAAGAGCTAAAGACCAAACCCACTTGTTCTCCCAAGCTCTTCTGCAACTCCAGCCTTCTGCCAGTATTCCCATTTTTCTAAATTTAATAGTTAAAAGACCCCTCCCCTCCCTGACTCTTTCCCATAGGTAAGTAATAATGAGGTATCATTGACATCATTCTTCTTTGGAGGTGCTCAAAAGCTCACAGTGAGGGGCATCAAAAAGGGAACCTAGATAAATAACATACCTGCAAAAAACAACAGAAGAAGGAAGACATCTCCAGCAAGACAAATGTATTATTATTATTAACCAAAAAGGCTTCTTTACAGTAATCGCAACACAAACATTTTCATTTCATAGCATTGCAATAAAACAAAAGCAAGGAAGTATCCTAATAAGGGCTCTCCAACATGAAGGCCTAGCCACATGCCACCCCTATGTGTGTCTATTTGTTGCACGGCTTTTCCATTTCGGCTTAGGAGGACTCTTTGCTAGTAATTTTCTTGCTTCTGCAAATGTCATATCCTTCCAGTGTGGAAGCTGACCATAAACAAACACCTCTTTGCTGCCCATGTGTTTTTTTTTTTTTAAATGAATCATATCTTCTTAGTTGACTGGCAAAAATCAGTTTGCCATCCTCAACCTTGCAGCTTATATCCACTGAAGAGCAAGCTAGATTCTCTTCTGCCTCAAGCATCATCAACCCATTTACTAGCAAAATTCTGACTTCAGAATCTCATTGTTGGGGAGACTGTACTAAGCAGCAGTTCTGCAGATGCCAAGCCCAACCTGCAATCGCTGGTCACTAGCAAATTCCCTGAGCTTGCAAGTCCAAGAAAGGTCATTAGCCTTTACAGAAAGCCTGGATGGCCAATAAATATAGAGCACTGGGGATGTCCTTTTTACAGTCACTACTGGTAGGGAGAGAGTTCATCACCCTCTTACTCAGACCCATCATGACATTCTGCTGGTAGGAGAAGAGATTTTCATCATTTCTGTGAGGCTGGCCAATGCTGCTATGGGAGAGAACTGTAACAATAAAATGTAACAATAACCATAACAATAACTTTTTCTGACAACCCAATTTACTGAACAATAGAGCACAGCCCACCACATCAAAGGCACTTCTGCGAGGTCCATAAATTAGTTGCTAGTAATTTATTCTGATCAATAGAACTGGCAAAGTCACTTGTCTCCTTAATCAACAGCACTTGCAGGGGAGCATCAGACTGGGAGGAAAGGAAGAGAAGGATAAATAAATCAGCAACTGGAGTATTGCAGCTCAGACCAACTACTAACTGATCATTTACAATCCCTTTCCCAAACCTTTGACAATTCCGGAGAAGATGTTGGTTTGTAATGATTTTGTCCCACAGAATTACCCAGGTTGGTTTCCAAACAAAGGGAATTTCCAACGTTTATGGTAGGTAGACAGACAGACATTAGAAAGACGCTTCAGTCAATGTGCATAGAGTCCTTCTCAGCTTTCTCAGAATGACTATTTTAGCATCTCCCCAAACTTCATTTTTACCTCCAGATTTAAGATTTCGTTCTCAGAGAAAGCCACCTTTAACAGGCCTCTGAAGAAAGGAAACCCTTTTGTGATAAATTCATGAGACATTCCATGCCAAACGGGGGATGGGCAGAGTTTGGATAATCTGGGTGCTTTTCAATGAGTCCTCCATAGCCCTCAACTTCCCTGCCACAGAGGAAAATGGCAAACAGAAGTGAAGAACGTCTCAATTGATGAGCTCCCTTAGTTCCTGGAACTACAGAGGAGACTTTTTATAACACTATATGCTATGAACTCCCCGTGTTCTTTGATATCAGTTAGTGACAAAGGACCCCCACCCCATTACTGCCACCACCACCACAGAATGTGAGGCAGTCTTCTGGGATGTCTGAACCAGGCTCTATCGCCTCCATATTGCTTAACCCCATCCTCAATGGGCCACGCTGTTAAGGAGCAATGCACATTTCCCATTCTCTTCCCAGCCAGACATCACCTTTCTTTGAAGGCTCTTCTTCCTTGGGATATCTACTCACCAAGAGCAGGTAGCCTATGATGTGCTGATTGTGGTGCCAGCATTATGGCAGGACATGATCCAGATTTAGTCCCTGTCCAGGCAGACTAAATTGGCAAAGGCAGTCTTCTTTGCTCACACAATAAAATACTGGTGATTATTATTTAGTGTACCCTCCAAAACAAACAAACAAAAATCCAGCCACCCTTTTCTCAATCAAAGACATTGGTTTTTGGAGTATTGCAGCTCAGACCAACTAACAAAATACTCCTTTTTCTACACCTTTCAATGCGCAGACATTGGTTAGGCCTCAACTTCCCTGTGATGGTAGTCATTATCATTTTACAGATGGGGAAGCCGAGTCATCAAGTAGTAAAGTGACTCGACCAAGTTCATTCATGATGTCTGGCAGAACTGGGAACCAGAACCCAGGTCTCCTGACTCCCAGGTCATTAGCAGATCCCAAACTGAATGCAGAGCATCCATCTCAGCAGAAGACATCAAAGAAATTTGCAAGGAAGCATTAGTTCTTGGATCATCCTCATAGCAAGATGGTTTTTAAATGACAGGCCTGACAACTTCAGTAACTGAGTTAGCTCCATGGCTAGGTCTCCACCACTGCCAGATGCCTGGGCCCAGTAGGACTAGCTGCTCCAGCATTGGAGTCCATTCTTTTCCAACTCACAGGAGTCTGGAAATCACTACTTTAGTAAACTCAACAGATTAATCTAGTCAAAGCAACGGCCTTATGGGATTCTGCCTTTTGAAGTTTGGAGGTCATCTCAGCTTCTTATTAGTTGAAGGCCGATAAACTAGTCGATTCGCTCTATGTAACTAGCATTCTCTCTATGAAACCCCTCTGGAGAGGGGCATCATAGGATAAGGCTGCCTCTCGGATGAGCAGCGTGTGATTTCAGCGGCCTTGCAGGAGGCTAGTTTCCGTTGCTGGAGAGAAATGGGGGTTACAGAGTCAGGCATAGTGTGATGGGTGTGTTTATATGTGCATGTTCTTATCTACATGAGTCTGGTTATTCTTAAACTGTGCACAAGCAATTCCAGGAACCCCAGTTTGGTCGCCCTCGGCTGCTGCCTTAGTGACTATTCCCCCACATCTCCAACCATCCTCCCAGCTGCTGGAACCTTCCCTTACTGGCTGATCCAGCATTCGCCACTCTAGAACTAGAAGGCCAGCAGCAGATTCTCCCTTAGCAGATTCATCACACTGCCCTCTGCTGACCTGTTATAGCTCAGTGGATTCATTACACTATCCTCAGATGCAATGTCAAGAGCAGAGCAGTCCTAGCTCGTGTGATCAGAAGAGACAATGCTCCATCAGTTATTTTATCAGCAAATAGGGAGATGACGAAAGTATGTGGGTTCCACAGGCTCCCACGCCCCATTTAGTGGACAGAAAAACATCTGGTTTCAGAATATTATGTATGGGCGGGAGAGGGCCAATTGGCTTAGTCTCTTAATTATAAGTCTCAGAATGACATGTCAACAGGATAGTATTTTACCATATCCATCAACAAGAGCCATATTTAGATAAACCTATTCATTACAAAGCCAAGCCATTATATTCAAACTGCAAAGATGTGTTTTTAATTTAAAGGCTGTAAGACCACAAGCATTGAGCCCTCAGAAAAATGAAAGAGGACAAGCACACCTACCAACCCAGACACCTGCCTCTGAGACACACCTCCTTCTAAGGTACACAGACCATCCAGAATTTCTCTTCCAGTGAAACAGGACCTTGTATCTCAGACCTGTCCTTCCCTTTCACATGGCACATTCATCTGGAATGATTGTGAAGTCTGAAGGCTCTGCTGCCTATCAGATTTAGTTTGTAGTTATTCTCCTGAAATAGAGAAAACTAAATAAAAATCCATGGAAAAATATTTGGAAACTGATTCTTCAAGATCAAACTAATCCTTGCAAATTTTGTTTTGTGTTATCGAAGTTTCAGAATGCCTTACCTCAGGACAGCAGAAAGGTCTTTGGTGCCGTACCTTCTTCTATTTATGACGTGAGAGGATTAACTGCGGGCTCTGTTACCAGATCTCATCTTTTAAGTAGAGTTTTGCAGGGGATGAGTTTTATAATGCAGTTTATAATCCCCTAAAGGCAGGGGAAATAATTTTCCCCAGGGCGCAAACACAATTGTACTGAAATGATGCTATCATTCTTTCAAGCCTCCAGCCTCAACTGCAGTGTGGATTTTAACATAACCACCTCTTTGGTGGGTGTTAGCTGGCTCAGCTCTCTATGCAGAACTCCTTAATTATTTTTCACCATTATAAAATGGGCCTGAGAACTCTTCCTAGCTTCCTATCCAAAAACATAGCTCTTCTTTCATGCATAGCCAAGAAATGGCATTGCTGTCATTCTGCCTTGATTGGTTCTTTTAGAAGAAGTGATTGTGTCATCCCCTTGCTGTGGTTACAACCTTATAGTTTTACACTGTCAGAGCTGAAGATCTCAGGCCACTGGAATTCCTTGTCATCTTTTGGAGGGTCTTATAAAATAAAACCCAACCTATTTAAGTGCTAACAGTGTGCTCAGGGGAGCTTACCATCTGAATACAGGTATCCTGGCAGGATGGGTTCAAGTTGCCATATTGGATGGACGGCTTATTTGGTTTCCACAAAACTCATTTGGTCAGAGCTACTTCTCAAACTGGGCTGAGAGAAAAGTGGTGTCATTTAGAAAAAGGTGTGAAGGGACTACTTGAAAATCTATTCCTTTCTCTATCAAATACCTTTGCTCACTGTGTTCTTGATGCTATGGTTCAATAGGTTATTACACCATCCTAAATATCTCAGGGTTTATCTACAAAGCAGTAGCTGTGCACAGGCTAGCCTACCTGAGCTAGCCTGAATCCAGCTAGCATGGGTAACAATAGCAGTGAAAGACAGCACAGCGTGGGCTCCAACACAGGTAGTGCAGGCCCGGCACAGATAAGCCCGTACTGCATGGTCTCCATTGCTATCGTTACCCACACCAGCTGGATTCAAGCTCACTCATGCACAGCTTTTCCTGTATAGACGTACCCATAAACTGTCATGGTCAGTGCTACCCACATCCGTTCTCTGCTGTACCTACATGAACAGAAGGAGTTTTCCCTCCCCCTTACATGACCTACATGTTGGGTCTTTGCAATGGAGCTCCAGAAAACACTCTCCTATAGTTATGGTGTGATTATCATGGTACAGTACTAATGGAAATATCTAGTTTCATTTTATCCTGGAAACTTCTTGACTAACACACACAATCTGGAGGTGGAATTATCCCCAAATTCTGATTTTTTTCCAGTTTCTCTTAGTACCGGTTACTTTAGGGGTAGCAGGCCCATGAGTCTGTTGCTGGACTACAAGAATTTCACTTACAGGCAGGACAAAAATGTTCTCTCACATACAACACACCTTTTTTTTCCTGCTGGTGCAGAGATCCATGCCAAAGCTAGAGCCCTTTATATTAACTAGAGAGCTAAAGATGGCACATCTACAATTGTATAAATTATTTAAGCTTCATCTTTCAAATATCTCTGCTCTGGAAACATAGGATCAAATCCCAGTGGAAGCTTCTTATCTTTTGTCCTGCTGTAGTTGATACACTGAGTCCCATGCACTTTACAGCCTGTGGATCTTTCAGATGAGACCTTAAAAAAAAAAACAAAAAAAAACCCAAACAAGCCTTATCTGCTCTACATGAACATTAAAGATCCTCCAGCATTTTTTGTAAGGATAGATGCTGTGATGAGCCCTACAGACTGGGCTGGAGTCTTGCTGAAACTAAAGGGCAAAAGCTGCCCTTCAATGGAACAACAACAGGCATTAGAGACAGCAGCTATATTTTCCTTTATTGTTCTTTTTTCCCCCCTTCTTGTGCATTGCCTGTCTTAAAACAAACAACTC